GCTCCGGACGGGGAGTGCTTGGAAAGGGGGCTGGGAGAAGCCTCCGGCGCCCGGGAGTCGACGGGAGCCATGTCCCCGCCGTCCACCGCCTTTGCCCGCGGGAGGGGCGCGGTAGCACCGGCAGCGCTGGTTCCTCCCCGCGTATCAGTCGCTTGTTCGAGGACTAAATTAGCTCAGCTTTTTCAGGAATTTCCCTGTAATAGTTTTAAAGCTTTCGGTAATTATCAGCTTGGCTTTTCTGGGCTCTCGTGTTTGTCTCTCTCAGTTTTTATGTTTAAGCGGCCGCCTTTGGAGTACCCTGCCGAGCTGAGGCCTTGCAAGCCCTTGGGTCCGTGACTGTGTCCCAGCAGGCCTTGTCCCTTCCAGCTGCATCATCACTGTTGGCTCAGGTCTCTTCTTTCCTGCTGTTGGGATAGGAACTAGCCAGCTAAACACCCTCTATTTCCAGTCTCCATTACGTCTTTCTTAAATAGAGCAAAAATGCAAAATATTGTATTACATTAATGTATGTGGCTTCAGCCTCTCTCCAGTGTCAGGAATGCTCTGAACTCTTCCACGCTGCTTGTGGTCGTTTTTAGCTTGATGCCATCCCATCTTTTCCGTGAGTACTTGCTGTGCCCTCACCCAGGTCGCTGGTGGAGATACTGCGTAGGATGAGACTTGGGGCACAACTTCACAGGAATGCTTACTGAGATCCCCTCCTGTTGCAACAGCAAAGTATTAGCTACCAGTCTCCTCTGAGAGTAGTTTTTATTTCACAGAACTGTGTACTGGCCAAATAATGGTCACTTAAGAGGTGTTTCTGTGTCTTGTCTTGGAGAATATTGTGTAAGTGGATACCTTGCTTGTTATCTCTTTATCCGTTAGACTGAAAGAAGTTTGGACGATAGGTTGGGTTTCATTAATCCTTATTCAGGATGCTCAGAAGTGAATTATCTATATAAAGATTTTTCTTTAACATTATTTTAAGTTTGTAGATTTAAAACCTCCCACAGGAATATATTTTTTATCTTTTAAAACAGATAGCATTACAGGGTAAGAGACTTGCAAGATAACTGAGATAACAAAAAGATGCATTGGGATTAACATGTAATAAAGCCTATGGTCTTTTTTTTTTTCCCTCTATAGTTTATATTCTCTGAAACAAAGAGTGACTACAAAGAGTGATTTCATATGATACACCACCCATCTAAACCTGCAGGTTTTTTTCTACTTGTATTAACTGTCTGATTTGTCTAGAAGTTTCCTTGTTTGGCAGCCTTAACACAAACTCTTATCAGACTGTTCTTCTGGGCTGAAGAGAATCCTGACAAGCTAACGTTAGTTTTTCAGATTTTAATTCAGCACTTCGCTGCCAACTTTAAGTTTCTGTGGTCTGATTTTTACTACATTATGGAGTTTGCTGTAACTAGTGGTGTTAAAAAATATGTTAAGTAGGAAGATTTCAGAGATTTTTATTAAATAACCCATCTCTCACCACATTCATACAAACATAAGAAGAGACAACTAATAGACAGAAGACCATGACATTCCATGATGTTCTGGCTATTTGAAGGTGCTTAAAGTCTTTCAAAACTTATTGTCAAGTGAGCTGTGGACTGTTTTGACACTGAGCCAAGTGAACATTTATGTGACCTTGTTTTTTCCTCTCCTATAGGAAGAGGTTGACCCGTCACTTCAAGCACTTGAGTCCCGCCAGGAAGAGATTCTAAAACGTTTGTATGAGCTGAAGAGTGCTGTCGATGGTCTCTCAAAGATGATACAAACCCCAGATGCTGACTTTGATGTAACTAATATTATTCAAACTGAAGAATGTTCCCCTTTGACAACAAATGGAGCAGATTTAGATTTGATGCTTGGAAAGGTGAGTTTAGTTGAGCATATAATTAGAATTTCAGATATACACATGCATGGCTGTGTACATCTTGGTGTCAAATAAAAATCCACTACTTCAAAGTCTGATCTGGAGTGTGTCTTACCTGCTGAATGTTTTGCTTTCCATTTAGGATTATGGTGCCCTGAAAGATATTGTAATCAATGCAAATCCTTCTCTACCTCCACTGTCATTATTAGTACTACACAATCTGCTTTGTGAACGCTATAAAATATTATCAGCTGTTCACACACATTCATCGGTGAAAGGCGTGCCAGAAAACCTCTTGAAATGCTTTGGAGAGCAGACTAAGAAGCAACCACGTCACGAGTATCAGCTGGGCTTTACTCTTATTTGGAAGGATGGTAAGAATGAAGTTATTTTGTAGATCAGTATTTTACAATTGGTGAGAAAATTAAACTTGTGCTATAAAACCTTCGCAACAGATGCTTTGGTGTCATTGTGCTGACACACGATGGATACATACTGCAGGTAACATTTTTGCTCTCTTTTTAGAGCTGTGAACAATGATGGGGACAGAGGAGGAAGATTTTTGGTTGTGGTTGCTGCTGTTAAAATACATGTGGCATTTACATGGTTGGTTGTGCCCAGAGGACTTTTTTTTTATACAAGTGTTTTTCAGTTTCTACAAATAAGTTTGCTAGAATAGAAATTAGGTGGGAGATTGGTCTGAAGTGTGAAAAAAGTGATTGCTTTATGCCAGATTCCTGCCTTAGGCTAAGTATGCAGACTAAGAAAACTGAAACTGTTCATCAGGTTAATGATGTTAGCAGTGTTGCTGGCATCACGAATAAAATACATCATAGAATAGAATTACCATTACATTTAACTTCTCTGCCACGTGGTATTCACTTTTTTTTTTCTTTTCTTGATTTCAGTTTCAAAACCCCAGATGAAGTTTAGCATTCAAACCATGTGCCCTATTGAAGGAGAGGGGAACATCGCTAGATTTCTCTTTTCTCTGTTTGGCCAGAAGTACAATGCAGTTACTTCAACTGTGATTGACAGCTGGGTTGATACAGCCATCTTCCAGCTAAAAGAAGGTAGCAGTAAGGAAAAGGGAGCAGTCTTGCGCTCTATGAATGCAGCCCTGGGCAAGACATCGTGGTTGGTGGGAAATGAACTCACCGTAGCAGACATTGTTGCGTGGTGTGCACTTCAGCAGACAGGTAGTGCAAACGCTGCCCCAGCCAATGTGCAAAAGTGGATGAAGTCATGTGAGAACCTGGCACCTTTCAGCTCTGTTATGAAGCTACTACAATAAGCCTGTAGTCTTCATAATGGTGTAGTCTCATTTCACCTCATACCTGCTGTAGTGGTTTGAGGTATTCAAGTACTACAGTTGGACAGAATTCTAAATCAATAAAAACATTACAGCTACCTTTTGGGTGTGACCTTCCTTTTTTGTAACTGATACATAACATGCATGTTTGTTCAATTATAAGCTATCTAAAGTATGCCTATATAAATACAAGCTGGAGTTTTAATTTTTCGTTTTATTTTTCCCTGTAAACCAAATGCTTATTTAGAAGTTAAATTGTACTGAGGCTAAGTGCAACATGAATCCTTTCTGTTGACTGGAGACTTCTGAACTAAGACAAAAAAAATTTAAAAGAGTACCTTTAAAGAACAGACAGGAAAATCAAAATGCATTGAAATATTTTTATGTAAAAAAAAAAAAAATTTCACACTAGAAGTTAGTTCTTCCTGTACTTAAACAGGAGAACCTAGTCTCTTATGTTCATCTTTTTCATCAGACAGCAGTCTTATTCTCTCCCTCAGTTTTTCTATTTCTTCCTCTTGCTGTCTCACCTTCTGTTGTAGGTTAGAAATAACCTGAAAATGAGAGTCGGTTTACTTTGTTTATAGACATGCAAGGATAAAGCCTTATTAACCTATCTGAATTGTGTTTGCAATCCCCCACAGACACATTCTGCAGCACCACAGCTATTCTGCGTATTTGATACTACAACTTAAACCACAAACAAAAAAGCACGGCAAGGAAAGGAAAAATGATAAAAAGATTCTGCAGAGCTGACGAAAAGCTTCAAAAGCTTTTCTGACCTATAGAAATACCTCAAGCTCTATGTAAATCAACTGTGCAGTCTTCATGAAGTTACTTAATGACAATTTATCTCATTTCACCAGAAACATTTATACAGTGGGCTAAATACTGTAATCAGAAAAAAAGTCTCAATCACACAATCCCCATAAGTTAAAACAAAAAACATAATACAAGAAGGGAAACAAAGGGCATTTTCCTTTCATATTTCTTTATCCTGTAATGGTTGTCGTTATTGGCATAACTTACATGTTCTGTGGTATGAAACAGTTCACTTTCACAAAGCTGAGCAGCAGTTGGTCTTTCTGTAGATCTCTGACTGGTGAGGAGTTTAATGTACTTGGCTTGAATAGGCCATTTTTTGTAGAAAATATGAGGAATTTGGCCGTGCCTTAAATGTGTAAGAACTTCTGTTCTTTCCATTTCTGTTCCAAACGGTTGGAAGAGTTCTAGCAGGATAACACCCATGCTGTACATGTCTGACTGGTAATGGGGTGAAGAAAAAGTTCTGGGATAACTGGTATTTTTAATTACTTACTACATTTTTTTCTCATTAAAAAAAAAATCACGATATGAAAAAGCTTCACAACAATGACATTTCATGATGATATGGAAAGTATCATGACACTTAACGGCTATAAACCTTCCTCAAGATGATCTTAGAAACACAGATCATGTTTGCACTAGTAGCAAACTAGAAGGCAAAGTTGAAATCCATGTTTCAGCAAAAACATTTGGTTTAACAGGAGGAGTATTTATGTAGTTACCTGCTGAAAGGCTTGTTTTATTCCTGTTACCTATCATCATGTGTTAATAGGAAAAAAAAATACTCCCTACCTTGAAATCATAGTGACATCCCTGCAATTGTTCTGGTGAAGCGTAGAGGCAAGTCCCCACACCTGAAGTATGGGTCAGTCCTTTAAAAACGCAATTTAGACTTACTCAGATACTGCTACATTGTTACCATTTCATTTCAGAATTTAATATTTAATGGTTTTAATATCACAGAAACCCCGCTAGGCTTTTTTCTCTTACCATTTATTCTTTCTGTCTTAAACCACTGGTCCGCATCATCCCAAAGAAGGTCTTTGCAAGCTAATCCAAAGTCTCCTATTTTTACATGTTGATCTGATCCATGTAGAAAGATATTTCTGGGCTACAAAACAAGACGGTATGAAATCTAATATATATCTAGATGAAGAATTATGAAATTTCATCTGTTTCAAAGTATATAAAATCCAGTGTTTCACAGGTATAAGATAATTATTTAACACTTTCATTAGTGAGAGAGAAAAAGCAGTCATAGCTGATACCACATTATATGTTGGCAACACCATTTGGGCAGAAAGACCACATATGAAGGACCTAGAAAAGAGGAAGAAAAGCAAACCAGGAAAAACAAAGATTTAGTGGAAAGATAAAGTACTTCCTCCCCGAAAACAGGAAATTTGCAGAACAGTAATGTTAACAGGAACAGGCAAGAGCAGACAACAAATCAGACTGATTGATGTAGCAGGAAGGAGGACTAACTATCATCCTTGGGCTAGACATAATGTAAAACAAAATATACTTTTCTATATGAGAAGGACAGCTGGAACATGCTACTTGGTTCTGGGAAGTTGCTATGAAAAAAACCACATGTGATGAGAGACTTGAGCGGAGAGCACTGACTGGAAAAACAGAAATAGTTTTACCTATATATTTTGGCTTTAGGACCACTAAGGAGGAGAAATGCTAGCATTTCTAGCTTCTAGGAAAAAAAAGACATACTTGCCAGATAAAAGAAAACATAATATTAAATTACTGGTTTTACTTAGCTGCTATTACAAGGTTTCTGAGCTTAGGTACATTTGGATGAGAAAGGAAAACGCTATTGCTTAGTACAGTTTTTTTTCTACTAAATAGAAATTTAGCATTAGCAAGAAAGCAAAGGCAACTTAAGACTTTTTTTCATTCTTAAACTTTTCCTGGTTTTACAGCACTTTTAAAACGTTGCACTGAATAACGTGGTTACATCAAAGCTCTTCTAGAACCAGGCATCCTGCAACATCTCAAAGAACGACACTGGTCCGAGATTCTAGATCCTCTTATTTCTAATTATGGATTTTCATTACAAAAATTACAATTCCCTTATCTATGAGTAACATCATGAAAGGAGCCAGTAGGCCTGCCACTGTGGGCATAGGAAATAAAATTCACGCCACGAAGAGCTATATAATGGAAGATAACAGTAGCACTGTTAAAGCTTTACTAGCTCATCATCCTGTCAGTGAAACAGCAAGTGCTTGGCAGGACCCTTACACCTCATAGACCTGCCCTCCCTCCAGGTAACCATTTGTTCAGGATTATAATTTGTGATTAAAAATACTTTTAGGTTAAGAAATGTTACTTTTTTTTTTTTTTTAATTAACAGAAGAGTGAAGGTCCCCACATAGATAACTCGTTTAAAGACATAAAGGATAGGGATAAATGGTCAGCTTTCACAGTGAAGGGTATCATGAACTGATTCTCGTGTGAATCTCTGCTGAGAACTATGTTCAACAACACATTTGTAAATGGTTAGAAAAGGGAGAGTGAATGGTGAGATGACAAGTACTACGTTATTCAGAGAAAGAAAGATGAGGTCTGAATGCAAAGAACTGTGGAAGGATCTTGCGGGAAGTATAACGACAAAAGAAATTCAGTGCAAGTAAATAGGAAAATGTAATGAAGGGAAAAACAATCCCAAGTTTAAATATATAACAACTGTCTCCAAGTTGACTGTTACAGCTTAAGCATGGTAACAGGCAGCTCTAAAAATGACGATTTAATGCTCAATAGCAGTCCATAAACTAAATTGTACATTACCAGTGACTGGGGGGGTGAGGGAGGTAAAGAAGAAAACTGTGATACAATATGAATTAATACACTGTCACCTTCAGTACCGTCTGCAGTTCTGAGTCTCCTATCTCAAAAAGCACGTAAGGGAACTGGAAAATCGTGCATAGATGGGTGACATGAATGCTGAAAATTTGGAATGGCTTCTATTCAAGGAATCACTAAATATAAAACACAAGGCAAACTGTTAAGTTTAAAAACAATCTATTGAATCACACATGGAATGGGAAAAGTGAATATGAAACACTATTCAGTATTTCTTCCAATAAATGAAATAGGTGATATAAAATTAAATTATTGGTGGCAACTCAAACCAGGGACTGTCATCTGCACTCACAGCACAGTTAAACTCTGGAGACATTGCTGCAGTATGGCAAATTAACACTCACATGAGTTTAAAAAAGATAAATTCTAGAAATATCCATAGATGGTTATTAAGATGCTACACACAGTTCAAGCAATCACATAAATTTGTTTCCCCCAAATGATAGCACACCTGACAATACAACATATGGTGAAATCACATCTACTGATAACTTTTTAATGTGAAATTAAGTATGTGTGCTCACAGCCCAGAAAGCCAACCGTATCCCGGTCTGCATCAAAAGCAGCATGGCCAGGAGGTTGAGGGGGGAGATTCTCCCCCTCTACTCTGCTCTGGTGAGACCCCACTTGGAGTACGGTGTCCAGCCCTGGGGTCCCCAGCACAAGACAGACGTGGACCTGTTAGAACAGGTCCAGAGGAGGCCACAAAAATGATCAGAGGGATGGAACACCTCTCCTATGAACAAAGGCTGAGAAAGTTGGGCTTGTCCAGCCTGGAAGACAGAAGACTCCAGGGAGACCTTACGGTGGCCTTCTAATATATAATGAGATCTTACCAAAAAAAAAAACAAAACAGAAACTTTTTTACCAGGGCCGGTAATGACAGGACAAGGGGTGGCAGTTTTAAATTGGAAGAGTGTAGATTTACATAGGATATAAAGACGACACTTTTTACAGTAAGGGTGCTGAGACACTGGACCAGGTTGTCCAGAGTTGTGGATGACCCATCACTGGAAGAGTTCAAGGCCAGGTTGGATGAGGCTTTGAACAATCTGATCTAGCAAAAGATGTCCCTGCCCATAGCAGGGGGTTTGGAATAGATGATCTTTAAAGGTCCCTTCCAACCCAAACCAGTCTATGATTTTATAATCTAGAGACCCAGGCACTGCCAGATTACGTCTGCATGTCCAGCCCCAGATGGAACTTCAGCTTGCTTGCACTTCTTCTGTGACCTTCGCTGGCCTGAACTATGACGACTCATTTCTCATGCTATAAAACTAGGAAATAGAGGAACTGAAGGCATAACACCATCTTATGCATTCCTGATGGGTACAAAGCAGCTGTGATTAGCAAATAAGTGAATGACCAAGCTTCTGTTAGGTCACGACAACTCATAAAATTTGTTATGACAATTGAAGTTTTGGGACCTGTTAACTATGTTATGCCCTACCAGTCCAGAAGTTTTAGTCCAAGTAATTTTATCTTAATAAAAAGAAATTGACTTAAAGCAACATTTTATGTTACAGAAATACCAAGAGGCTATGCAGCACTTCTCCTACTAAATTTGCCTAGTGGTTACAGCTGGAACATCCATTTAAAACAAATTTCAGAGAAATCAACCAACTTCACAGCATAATACAGAGAAGTGTCTCTGTTATCTTGTAAAATGTAAAACATCAGATAAATCCTGAAATAAGTAATTACAAACACGACTGACTTCTGCATTTAGGCCAGTAGTTTTATGATGCCTTGCCACCTATATCCATTCTTTTTTAGTATTATCTTAACTTAGAACACCAACAAGACTGGCTGGACACCTCCTCACATAGCTGCAGGGTCACTCAACACAGAGGCAACAGCAACTTTAATTGCCTCTGGTGCAAACATCAACTTTGCCTGTCCAACTTGTGGAAGAACTGCCCTTCACATTGCAGCGTGCACAGCATTGTCTAAAGCGAGCAGAATTTTAGGTGCAAACACAGATTGCATCCATTTACTATTAGGTAATGGAGCCAACGTAAATACTCAAGATCATGAAGAATGAGGCCTGTTCAGGTAGCAGAAAGGAAATAATTGACCTTCTGTTAGAGTATAAAGTTTATATATATAAATCCCTGTTTAAGCCAAAAAAATGGCTTCACAAAGGAGAAGACATTTCCAGACCTTAATCATAATTGACTTGTAAGTCAACGTAATTGAGTACTATGCTTATATTAAAGAAAATAAGGTACTGGTATAGAGGAGACAATGTAATTTTTCATGTGTAACATAGCTAAATTCCTAAGAGCCCAGGTCATCTTAACTTTAACTCTGAAGTTGCTTTAATTCTCCCATAATCTAAGTTCTCTTTGTTTTCTTTAATCTCAAGTAATAATTTCATGAACTTACTTTAATGTCTCGATGCATCACTCCCATGCTGTGGATATAACATACTCCTTCTAATAGCTCGTGAAAAATTTTCATGGTCCAGCGGACATCCACAAGATGGTATGGACCTTAAAACAATTTAACATCTAAATTATTTCAGCTAATTTTACTGTTATTTAAGTTTATGGTGTATGTCTTGTTGAATTATGTTTATTTATGATGTGGAAGAAATTTTTAACAGAATGAGCATAGTTTAAAAATGGAATTTCCCATGCTTCTCCTAAGATAGTATTTTTGAAACAGCAAAACGTCACTAACCTCAAAGTTCTAAAAAGGAAGGTTCAGGGGACATGAATACATGTCTGCCTGAAGACATTCCTCCAAATCCTGTCAGATAGTTATTTGATTATGAATTTAACAAACTTTTTAATTCCATGTAAGTGCTGAATTAGAATGAAAAATACAGTTACAGACAAAGTCATACTAATTTATGTAATGACATGTTTTCTGTATTGATTTGCACCCTTTCTTTTTGGATCCAAATCCTTTTGCTGTTGTGCTCTCCTCTGAAATTCCCACATCTGCTCTGGCTGTAACTGTCCTAAAATAAACTTAACAGTCTCATTGTTTTTACCATTTCCCACATTATTATTTTATTAAACTGCACCGTTTTCCTACTCTAATGACCCAGATCTAACATGTCTGTTGCCACTTCGAACACTCGCCATTTACTCCTACTTTGGTCTCTGTTTCTTAATGTCTAACCTATGATAGCATTCACCTTTCCTCTCCTGTTGTCTGAAAATGTGTGAAAACGGCGTTTTGCAAGATCAAATGCCCTAGTAATTCTGTCATCCCTTGACCAGGAACGTCATCTTTTATCTTATGAAAGCTAAAAAGACTATGATTACAGGAAAGAGTAGTGGAAGTCAGGTGATAGTTAGCTGGTAAACCTTACTCCATGACTGAAGAGAACAACAGATTTATCTTAATAGCGATTAAAACTAAGATTAAACATTAATCATACAGTTTATATCTTACAATCTGTTAAGCATATGCTTTTTTTTAATACAACCAAGCCAGAGAAAGGAACATGTCTCTAATACTTTAAGAGCATTAGAGTTGTTCTTCCAAATGTCAACAATTATTGAAGACAGCTTGGTATCAGGGCATGAGAACTCCTCTGGCCACTCAAGCAAAGTAAACATTAGATTCTTTACACCAATGACAAATTAGCCTGTGTAGGAATTTTGATTCTTTAGAACAAACTTAAAAGCTTTTAAGTATGTTGTAACCTGTCTGGAACAAAAGATATATTTTCCACAGCAGATAGATTAGCCTGTGAAGAGCTCTATTTTGTAGCAGCAACACTAAGCAAAATTTCAATTATTTAAACAGCTTACTGAGAAAAAGCAGACTCTGTCAATAAAAAACTATTCCAACTAAGTCGTATTGCCCAGGCACAGATCTCTCCAGGTAACAACTATGCCTCAGGCATACATTCATTCTTTTTTGAAAATACATCTAAAACTCATGAACTTAAATCTTTTTTACCAACATCTACCATACAATGATTCAATGCTAGCCACTATTTCATTAAGCCAATAAAGAATCTAATGAAGAAGATCCGTATTATAAGTTGCTGAAGTAAAACATAAAATCAGGCCCATACAATGATTCAATGCTAGCCACTATTTCATTAAGCCAATAAAGAATCTAATGAAGAAGATCCGTATTATAGTTGCCTATAAATCAGGCAAGTGGACTTCCAATTTGGAAAAAAAGAAATATTTACTGTATAAGGAATTAAGTACATTATTAAGACAGTGATGAATCTTACTGGAAGTTTTCTCTGTACTCTCGCTGCACCTTTTATTGCGGTCAACAATCCAATCCCACAAGGATATTTCACACAGTTGCATTTGTATATGAAGAATCAAACGATACTCTACCTAACAGAAAAATAATGGTCCGTGATTTTGCCACTGTAATATGAACAGCATTTCCTCAGTTATTTTCTTCAAAGCTAATTAAAAAGAAGTTAGATACCAAAATGACATAAAATACAGTATTACTAATCTACTGCATTAAAGAAGCAGATGCAACAACTCTATCCAGCTTTGGGTTTTTGAAGATTTTCAAGTTTGATGTGTTGTTTGTTTTTTTTTAACACAGGAGTAGTACTTTATATTCATGTAGGTACTTTGAAAGGACCCAAGATGTCTAACACACTGAAACTTTCCTGTATGCTTAGTTTTGCCAGCTCCTCCGGGCAGCTTCAGGTAATGGTGTTACCCATTTAAGTAAAAATTGTCTGTATTTTTGGCTCTCATCGCAGTCACTTCATTTTTTTAACTTTATCATTATAAATCATTCTTCTGTCTACCACACTCTGCTTTACAAACATCATTAAATCAGACAGCGGTTAAGTGTATTTAAAGAGAACTGTATTTACCTCAAGCTCTCCACAGAGCGCTACATCATTCTTGGAGCATTCTTCAGTGCAGGACTTACTTCCAGTGCTAGCATCTTGATCCAGACTACAACGAGGTCCCCGTGCTGACTGATTTTTCACATCAGTTGATCTACTGCTAACACTACTTACAGAGTCTTCTTGTAATTCTATGGATAATTCACATTTATGTGGTTTCATACACTCTTTACCATTGCTGTTTGTAAAATCATTCCTTACATCCATATTCTGCACTAATTCACTATCCAGATTCCTAAGACTGGTACTGTCACAGGACTTCTTTTCTTGTGAAGCAAGGTCAGCAAAGATAATTGAGCTACCACTTTCCACACTCTGAATACGACAGTGATCACTGAAAATGATAAAGGGAGAGAAATCAAAATATGTACGCAGTTTTATACCATCTATTTGTGATACACCACTCTGAAAGCTTTTTCTTTCCCCTCGCAATTGCAAACTGCATTCCAGAGTAGGAGTTCAGCTGCTTCTCCATATAAAACTTTAGGATTATGTATTTGGCAGTGTAGGCTCCAGCCTTTTTAATACCTTCCCCCAGCAGGGATTCCTGATAGCCGACCCAGACAGCTCACAGATACACACAGTCCTAGGTCACAACATTCTCTGGACAGAAGTATGATGCATCTCCATTCCTTTAAACTTACGAAGTTGCACTATATTTCTCATAAGACTCCATCTCCTGATTGAAAGGGCTAATCAACACTTCTGAGAAACAAAAGGGTCCATCACTCTAATAAGTCTCCACAGTACTAATCAGTGTTGTTGACTGGCACAGAACTTTTGATGTAAACTTGAAGCCCAGTACTACATTCAGGCACTCAGAAACAAGAGATCCAAAGAAAGCAGAAGTATCCAGTAATATTCTTCAGCTTATGCAGCCAGAAGAGAAACAATGACACGGATAATTAAGACTTCTTTTGGTTATAATTTGGAAGCAAAAAGCACTTGTACAATATATGCTGAATTCTGTACTCTTTTGACATTACTTTAAACAAGGCCTTATGTTAAAGCCAAATAAATGTTATAACTGAGATTTATAATACTTACTTGCCACTCTCTTGCTCCAAAGATAATGGCTGCAACTCCATTATTGTTTTATCTACTGGATGAAAAGAGAAATATGATATTTTACCAAACATTACATGCATATATTTACTATAAATTAACATTTAAGATGAAGAATCCTACTGAATTTAACTTCATTACCTCCAGATATCTTTTTCTCTATTTCTGCTGCTGAAAAGGTTTTTGTTAGTCTACTGAGAAGCAACCCTAACATGTTTCTCATTTTTCTTTAATTGAAAAGAAAATACATGTCGTACAAGGCCACTGAAAGGGTTGTACCTATAGATCTAGTTAGGTACTTATATTCTCACCATTAAATACTTATGAAGCTCTAAAAAGTTGCATCCTTCAAGATTCTCAGTATCATTGGTTGAAAGTCTTATCCATTTTCCTAAACTATCAACTTCCTCTGCCTTTTCTTTTGTACTTACAGCTGAGTGGGCATGAAGTCACTGACTTGGAAAGCAATAAAATCATATAGAGCATAAGCAAACGTCCCACTAAGAGGAGATCAAAAGATTCAACTGCTAAAGGCGTTCCAAAAAAGGACAGGAAAGGGACCAACAGATTAGGGTTACAAAGGCACCAAAGGACAAGGTGTGGAAAGAGCTGAGAACAGAGAAACTGAAGAGGGAAAAAAAGGGAGCAGGGAAGAAGGTGTAAAATGAATATAAAAGTAGATAAATTCTCAATAGTTACAGACAGTAGCCGATACCCAAAAAAACCAGATCGCTCTGTCACTGCAGAACTATGAAACACAATTAATAAAATTTAAAAACTCTCCTGTGGAAAGTAAGAGGGAATTTTTTTTTGCCATTAAATATTAATCTCCAGGTTCTTGCAGTTTTTCTGAACTCTTTTCCAGATAGGAAGAGAAGCATAGTGGGAAATCTATCCTCATTTTGCTACAACTCTGAGATTTCAAAACATGGTAGCAAATTTGTGGTTTTTTTCTCCTGTTCATTGCTTTTCTCCCAATATCTGAAGTGGCTCGTCCCCAGTATTCATTCTTCTCCGCGTCAACTCACTACTTGTTGTGTTAAAAGGTTTTTATTGCATTCCGCTGAACTTCATACAACTTTAAAATCCTCCTCATATATTACCAAAAATGAAGCTAATACTTCCACAGCTCCAAATTCTTCCTTAAGTAACAGATAAGTTATTAGGCAAGAGATTGAAGTGCACAGAGGGACATGAAGACCTGGTGGCCTCCTGCAGTTTGCTTTTTTTGGTTGTTTTAAGGAGGGAAAAAGAATAGTTATTTTATCAGAAAAGTAATACTCTCCTGCAAATAACAGTACAGAGGTTATAAGCAGGGTGCAAGCAAGAATTACACAATATGCTGTACTTTCCTTTTGGGTGTATTGTTTGAACATATTCCATCCAAGCAGTGTGATAGCCTACAATGTTAGGATGCTGCAGCCCAGCCAGCACTTTAACTTCTCGTAGCACCTAGAAAGTCCAGAAAGAAACAGTATGACTGTCCTTTATTCTGAGTGCTTAGTAAACACAAGAGATAACAAAAAATAACAGTTTTTGAGAGAGAAAGAACAGATAAAATTATTACAGTAACAGAGAAAATTCGAAGCTTTAAAACAAATTATGATATTCATAGTTGCAGAGATGATCAAATTCAAGTTAATAATATGCTTCTTTTAATGGACTTAAATACCTCATTTACTTTTTTTCTACTAGGTACTGAAAAGGTCAAATCTTTAGAAACTCAGAATGTGTAAAAACATTATTAATGTCTCTGATATTTTGGGAAACATTAACTGCACTACTAAATCAAATCATAATCAGCTAGAGCAAACAGGGAGGTAAAACATAAATGAAACATAGCAAAAAGAATACCTTCATGCAATCTCTTCTTGTAGCCTTCTTAATGTTAATTTTTTTAATAGCATAGAACTGACCATCTAACTTGTTTCTGACCTGAAAACAATTGCGATAGGACAAAATCAGATGTTAATGTGTTTAGAGTAAGGAATTATTAAATCCTTTATAACCAATTATTTTCTAAAAATTAATTTCTGCACTACATTCAGATAATCTCTCACCCATATCAGAGAATGAAAAGGGGATTGTGCCCCAGCTGTCCGAGATAAGGATACTCTACTTTTGCCTTCATTCAGGACTGCAAACATCTAATCCAATCTATGTGAAATACACAGCTTTACAGCTATTTTTCCATCAATTAAAAAATGCTGATAGGTCCTGATAACTGCTTTAACAGGTTCTCAGTAAGTCTGTGAGACCACAACTGTCATTTACGTGGCACATATCACGTGGGGAACCTTAGGATGGCCATGTATGCTACAAGTATTTAATGCAATTCAACATTGGGTTGGGCAGTGTACATTCGTATTAAGACCGCTTTTTTTTCAAGCAGCCACAACTGGAACATTGTGGTGCGCAGACTAATCAGTTCCTGCGGCTGTTTTAAGCTAATACATCACAATACTTCACAGAAGAAATAAGGAGTTTTCATTCCCTTTAAAGGGTCAAAATACACAAAGTAAAACATATGATATATCCTGCTTCCAACAAACAGAAAATAGAAACCACAACTGAGCATCTTTTGAAATGAAACGCCAACATTCTTCACATGTGCGGGTTTGTACCTGTTTTATTGGAAAATGAGTATTTCTGATTTTCTATTAGAAAAAATAAACAAAACAGCCAAAACAGTAACTCTAACTTTCAGAGAAAAAATAGATATAAACTGATCAGTTATAAACAGAAGTTAAAGAATACCTTGTATACTTTACCATATCCTCCTTTTCCTAGCCTTGCAACCTCATCAAATTCATTCAAGTATCGAGAAGTCTGTGCTTCAAAGAGGACTTCTTTCTCCCTAATCAAAAAAGTTAGGCTGCATTAAACTAAATTACAACTTATAAGTAAGGTAGTATATAGGCTACAGGCGTACATGATCTAGAAATACTATTTACATTACAGAAGAAGAAAACACTTTGACATTACCATACTGTACCATTCATTGTTTTAGTGAATACTGAAAACTAGCAGTCTGCAACAGTATGCACATGTGCTACAAATCCACACTCTGTGTTAACAGAGGTATTAAGATAATTTCTTTAAGTTTATGCCTGATAAATCTTGTTTTCCTGAATGGTGGCACTAACCATGGCAGTTGTACTGAAGAAGGAATTTTCACCAGATCATTTTGAGAGTTTGGAGAAATGTGCACTTTTTTTCTGTTTCAGAGGCGAAATATGAAATACAGTAGTAATTAAATTCAGAGTGGAACACAGAACTTTAGGGAGGGAGTTAAGTTTAGTATTTCTAAATGCTTTGAATACATACCCAACTGCATGAGAATCTCCATTATCAAGTTCCTATGAAACAACAAAATCCAACATAAAAACATGCCACAGAGAATAACAGGTCTACCATGCCATCGGCATGGACAGCTTAATCAAAATAGAAACTACAACTATGTTCTTGGAGGAAAATGAGGTTACCGATAGCCATTCACATTCTGCAGAGAGCTTCACCAAATTAAAGTATTATCCCACCAGTAATCTGCTAACATCTCTCTAATGGAGAGATTACTGCCCTTTTATAGTTCTGCTGGCAAACAAGATAAAATGAAGGCTCTAAAATGTGCTTAAGACAAAATTAACTAGCTTAGTTCAAGCAGCAGGATAAGCAAACCGGTCCGATTCAGCCTGAAGCACATTACACAGTGTACAAATTATGCCCTCCCCTAATATAAATACAAAGGTGTTCACATAATCAACTGGAACAGTTACAAGTTGAAAGTGAATGTCTGTCCATTGTCAAAAAAAGCTGTAGATACTTAAAACACCTTGCCTGTGTTTATAAGATCTTTTTAAAACTTTTTTTTTTAATTTTTTAATAAGGAACAAAATGTTGCTGGCTTCAAAAGCTTTGGTTTGCACTTACAGAACCAGAGCATGCCATCCCAAACAGCTAAGGTAGAATAAGAGCACCGTTTTGTGTAATTATTAAAAAGACCCAAACCAATACTAAAAGAACTCTCAAACAAAAGCTGCTTTGGATGCATTGATGTGTTAATTCCCTAATGCAGAAGCTGCCAAAGAAATTTAACAGAGCTTACCCCATTAAGTATTTGTCGATTAGCTGCTTTCATTAGTTCAGTAATGGCTCTATTATGCTGCAGTCTTACAGTACTAAATTCATCACAGAAGGCAAAAGGGGAGAGCAACCCTGTTCTTGTGAAAGCCTGACGAAGTACTGTACAAAGGAACAGAGAAAGGTCACATTAAATAAAGACTGCCAATAAGACTATGTAAACAGTTGGGGTTTTTTAAATGAGAAACTTTATTTGAAAGATAGCGCATCTGAAAAACTGAACAGTCACTCCTAGTCTAATGCAATAGAAACTAATTAAATCCAAACTAGAGCTGCTCTGTGGGAATCCCTTTGCATAATACAGTTATTTACCATGCCCTTCATGGCCACAACCGCAACTCCTCTTCTTCTTACTTATCTTAGCAGATGAATTATACAAACATCCACACATTCACTTACTTGTTACCCTTGGACTAATTTTGATCAGTGAAAAGAGAAATTCAAAGCACGTTCACAATTATCAGGCAATGTCAAGACTTTCTAATTCCCATACCAACTCACACATTTGTGCACATGCTCATAGTAAAGAACGAAGTCACTCCCTCCAAGTACTACATATTTCTTAGTTGGAGTAAAACAATGCTGTGGCAGACAAAAACCTAACAAATACTGAAGATGGGTGTAGCTGCGAAGATGCTACAAAAATGTACCTAAAAGTTTTAGGAATTCCAAGGTCTTAAAACAAGCTTGCTTGTAAAGTTTTTGTTTGGTTTGGGTTTTTTTTTGTGTTTTTTGTTTTTTGGTTTTTTTTAAAGATGTTCCTTTGGTAACAGTATTTTAAAAATCGGCTTATTACTTTATCCTTTAAAGGAGATAAAAGTTCTTGAACATGAACCTCTAAGAAATCGGTAATTTTGCTGCACAAGCCTTATGGACAATTACACACCAGAAAAGTGGGGAAAACTCACCCAACATGAATATACCACAAAATAGATACAACTACTGCAATGTTTTTTCTTTTATTCATCAGGTTTATTCCACTTGGGGAAACTGGTTTAAACCATACCAATGTAGGAACGTAATTTTCCATAGAAGTACACTGGGAAGCCAAGCAGCTACATACTTTGGAAGATGCCCAGCTTGGGTTTTTCTGTTCCCCTCCCAAAAGGAGGAAATTTGGTTGGGTTTCTTCCCTGATATTTTTGGTTTTGATAGAGATAATAGTAAGACCCAGGGAAAAATATCTATATTAGACTACAAAACCAAAAAATTTACCATTTTCTGCACTCTCGTTACTGGATGCTATAAATGGCTTCAATTTTAAGTCTCATTTACGAGCAATGTATTAGATTTTATTTTCTACAATCACGTATAGTAAGGAGAAAAACCTAGGAGATTGTTTCTCAAATGCTTTAAGTATGTGCTTAAATGAACAAAATAGCTAAGATAAGTCACATACCAAAAAGACAGATTTCAAAAGAAACACTTCATACCTAAAAATCCGAGCTCCTTGAATTGTATCAAAAGACTTTATGGGAAAATAAAAGACTTACAAATGTATTTACCCTGATTTTCACAGGCCATAATTTTGAAAGATTTAGTGAAGACTATGCTACAGCTATTTCTTCATAAGTATTTTTAATAAACTCCTCTTCTACCTGTGTTTTTAGATCAGATTTAATAGCTAGATAATTTACCCCACTACCCTTCTCATGATGCAACTCACATGACTTAGCTGGAACAGACCTGCCTTATCCTTGCATCTGTAACAATATTCTGTTACTGTTTTCAAAAATAAAGCAGGTCCTCATTCCCAATTAAGTCGATTCAGGGTATTCATCCTCTTTGTGGAATTACTCTCGTCCCAGTGGGATGAGCCCTACAGCTTTGTATTGATACTACACTGTAATTCTGCACAGAAGAATCCAGTAGGTATTGCAGTAAGGCAGTTTAAGAGATAGGAAAGAACTACTCTTACTAACTTTGGAACAAGCACCTCGAATGAACAGGGTTGTGCGTGTACATGTGGCAGAGATGCTCCAGCAGCGACACAAGCAGCAACTGGTTATGGATGGTCGAAGTGAAATTCACAAACTTTTGCGACCTGTTTGCAACTCGCAGCTCCGCCGGCACATCTGATTCTGGAAAAGGACAGTCAGACGAATTAATTGAGGTCTCAGCACATGCCTATTTACCAAAACATCAAAACCACATACCAACCCACACAGCTTCCACACGACCCAGGCTCACAAAAAGGCACTACACGAGCTGCCACTGAGCGAGAAGCTTAAGACACTAATAAGGAACCCCATTACCATTCATTTTTTTATAAGTGCGTATAAAAGGAAGCTAATCGAAGAGGACGAGGCCCTCCCCGAGGGAGGGGGAGCTCCCACAGCGGCCGCAGGGCAGGGCCT